GCATTCCCACCTTGGCCATGGTGCCCCTCCCCCAGTGGTGCAACTGAAGTTTGCAACCCGGTAACTGGCCTCTTTGCTGCCCGAAAGCCCTGGCAGGACTAAACAACTTCAGTTTAAGGGAGAGGAAATAAAAAGCTTTTGAAATGAATAACTCTAAAAGCAACTCATTTTTTTGTCTGAAGGTATAAATTGGGTATTTGAGAACAGACTGCTAACCTTCCTTTTCAAAGCCCTTCTCAGCCTCAGGAACGAATTATTCCGAAACCATCCCAGGCAATTGCCTCAGCAGAGAGACAAAAACAGAAGACGCTATTCCTATAATTACCACTAATTACAATCTCATGGTTCCAGTTAGTCTCCATGTAAGAAGTCCACCACTTGGAGAACAGCATTGGTGATCTGTGTCGGAGCCAAATTCGATATTTTGGTCCAATCCAGAATGGCTACCCAGCCTTTGCCAGGATGAATTTGTGTTTAGAATTTTATTTTTACAGCCTCTGAGGCATCCCAGATTTTAAGAGGACATTGGAAATCATCCATTTGTGCATGCCTGCTCCAGCAAGATCTGTGCATTTCAGAAATCATTAAGAAGTTAATACTGAAACCTATTTCACCCTTCTTACCGATGACAATTTTTTTTTTTAAAGTTCAAGTGTTTAGATTTCCCCAAGAAAAATTAAAATGATTCCTTAATCATTGGAATTTTGATCCAGATAGTCCAGGAAGAAAAAGATTATAAGTGACATCTCAATTTCAGGCACCTCCTTAGTCAGGGGGACTTGATTTCTGATGATTACTCTTCTAATCAGTTCGCAGGCTGACTGCTGCTATCTGGGGTGAGAACTCCATGAATCCTGCTTCCAGCTCTCCAGAGGTTTGCAGACTCTTGCCTTTCACTGCCTGGAGGTCCCTGGGCCTTGAGAGAGATCACAGAGCCAGTGGGGACTCTGTCATTGACCTACCCTGTCTTCTGAGGCAAGTTATTTATCCCCTCCGACCCTCCTCTTCCTTGGAGTATAACATAAAGAAAATGCAACCTACCTGAACATTGGCTGTAAAAGCTGAGAGCATGTTCTACTCTAGCAGCCGGGCACAGAGTCAGTACCCAAATGAAATGGCTCATTTGTTTACTCAACCAAAAGTTAAGTCCAGGAGTGCGAAGACAATATATGGGCCCTGCTTTCGTGTCTGTTCCAGTCTGATGGGGAAAACAGATATGAAGCAAATAATCCCCCAAGTTAATTGCACACAGAGAGAAGGACGATAAAGGAAAGGAATGCAATTCTGTGCTAGCTTGGGCAGAGGAGGAAGACTGAGGTCAGGGTGGGGATTAGGGAAGGTGGAGGAAGTAACCTTTGAACCCAGATGTGAAAGATGAGAAGAGGGTGGGAAGGAAGCCATCTTGTAGGCCCTGTGAGGGGCAGGGCAGGGAAAGAGGCCCCTGGGGAGAACTAGACAGAGAACGTGGCAGAGACAGGGCTGGATTAATCACTAGCAATGTTACATAAATTATTAGCAAGCTTTATCCCAGATAGGCATACAGTGAATAAGTCTTTGATTTAAGTGACAAAATTTTACAAGTATGTCTTAAGAAAAAGCTTTTAACCTTGCTAGGAAATAAGATTTATTGATGGGAATAATTCCTGTTCAGTTCACTAATTTCTCTGAAAAGATGCCTAATATATGTGAAAGCGGAAAAAAAGGGAAAATATATAGTTATATACAGTAGATAGGTCATCAAAAAGGAATGAATACATGTGTTGTAGTTTATGATAAATTATAAGAAGTAGACTTGGAGTTGATGAGTGAGCTGAATTAAAAGGCTCAACCCTGCTTATTACTAGTGTGTTATCTTAAGCAAATGTGTTATCATTTACTTAGAGTTTTCTTCGTGTCAGGCACTGTGCTAAGTGCTTACACAACATGTGTCATTGAATCTTTCCCAACTGTTATCATCATTGTCATTACTACCATCTCCACTTTCCAAAAGAAGAGATAGAGGCTTAGAAAAATTAAGTAACATGCTCAATTTTACATAACGAACTTGGTGTTTGAATCCTAGCTGCTGGCTCCAGAATCTACACTGTTAAAATCACAGTATGCTTTGCTCTGTCCAGCCTGGAAGGCGGTTGTGAAGACGAAACAGTCACGGAAGTCTTCAGAAAAACCTCGCCAACCGCAGAGGTTGTCACAATGAACATCTCTGCCTTCTTGCAGTGAGACCAGACCCTTTTGGGTTCACTCTAACTTTATTTCAGCCATCCAAGCTGGAACTTCGGAATGATTTTTCTTAGCAGAGTGCTTCACCTGCCCAGAGATCCATGGATTTACTGGAAATGTTTGCAAAGTATTACGTATGTGTACATGCATATTTTTCTTGAGACTGGTTACCCAAAACGTTTATGAGCTTCTAGGAAGAGGAACCTTCTCTCCGAATTCTGATTCAATATAGTTGACTCAGGTCGAAAAGGGACTGGGAGTTCAGAAGAGATTTTTAATTCAGTCTGGTCTCAAACAAGAACCACTTGCTCACTAAATATTTTAGGTGGGCCCCTGATGTATCAGTCTAAAAGTCTGGCCACGGCTGTACTTCAAGAATTATTCCAAGTTTACTCACTTTTTAAAAAACTTCCTTACTCCTCTATATAAACCTGTATATTTAAGAGTTAAGTAACTTGCAGGAAAACAGAGTCTAAAACACATTAAACTCTAAACAATCTGCATCCTTCAAATTCTATACAGCTTTTGCCAATGTTTGCTTAAAATGCTATAGCAGAGTTGCAATTAGTATGCACATTCCCTCTTGCACTGATTTTCACAAATAGTATTTCACATAAACATTTTCTGCATTGGCATGGCCCACACACTTGTTATTTTAATAACCCGATAGCATTCCTCTCTGTTAACATACCTTGAATGCATTTAAGTTAAAATAAAAAAGAAACTCTCAATTTTTTATCTTTGACTCCTTGAGTTTTGCTTTAACATGTAAAAAAAAAACTGATACGAAAAATGCTAACAGTGTATAATTTAATGGTTTCAGAGAATGAGCTTTGGAATCCAACAGACCTGTATTTGAATTCTGTTTCTACTTCTTATAAGCTATGTGACCTTAAGCAAATCACTTAAGCTGTCTGAGCCCTAGTTTCCTCATTGTGAAATAGGGATAATAGCAATATCTCCCTCTTCAAATTGTTGCAAGATTAAGCAATATAATATGCTTAAAGTGCTTTGCAGAGTGCCTGGTACATGCTAAAAGCTTGGTAAGTGAGCGCTCTTGGCACAATAGGCAGAAGATAGAGAATGGAACCCACCTAGAGCACCTTCTATAAGAGGGATGAAAACGTTGCTTTTCCAAGGTCTTAAGGAACCAAAATCAGGGGAAATAAAAAAAGTGTGAATTGACCACATGTTGGTGTCAATTTACTTGACAATCGAGTCAAATTTGAGTATCTCAAAAAACTACTTTCAGCTGTAAAATAAGGATGGCAACTTGAGTGAAGATGTGAAGATGAATAAATATAGCCAGGAAATAAATACACGGATTGTGTCCCTGGCATTGTGTGTCTGTTCAGCCTCGATGTTGCCCACCTCCCTGCAGAACGGGTCCCCAAGCCGAGGCAGCCCTCCCCGGCCACCATCATCAGGGAGGATTTTCTGACACCTCTCCTGACCACATGTCAGAACATGCAAGCTAGACACAACCATGGTGCCATGGTGACTCTAGTCCGGCTCATTCATCCACTTTACAGATCTGAAAATGGGAGGCTCAGGCAGGTCAAATGAATTTCTGAGGTTGCATATCTACTTAAGGGCAGAACTGATATATATATAGAACCCAGCCACTTCTAATCATAAGCCCACAGATTTTTCTGATCAACCATTGGTGTTCTACCTCCATGATATTCTACTTAGCCATGAACTTCCTATACGATTATTTACTTCATTTTTAATTAAGGTCTTTTCTTTCTTTCTTTCTTTCTTTCTTTCTTTCTTTCTTTCTTTCTTTCTTTCTTTCTTTCTTTCTGTCTTTCTGTCTTTCTGTCTTTCTGTCTTTCTGTCTTTCTTTCTGTCTTTCTTTTTTTTACTAGAAATACATTTAAAAGGAAACTTTATATGACTAACCATTGATGGAAAAACCATTATTGCTTAACTTAAAGATAGTCATAAAAATAAATAGCAAAATAATAATATTAAATTCTAGTTAAAATGCACATGGGGTCTATCAGAGGATCAGAGACTGAGGTGAAGGCTCTCGATTAGTAAAGATTTTAGAGGGGCTCAATAGGGACAAAGAGCCACAGTCTAGAATTCCATCAAACGAAAAGCCCATCAACACCTCCTGTAAGAGGCTAGAAAAAAGGATGAAAAGGGAATAACTACATTGGGTTGGTAGGAGGGGTATGAATTTGGGAAATGGCAGCTTGTACCATCTGCTTTGTTTGGCTTTCTGGTCTGCCCTACACCATCTCTTGCCTGTCACTCACCTTGGAATGGTTCCTGAAGGCCTTGTGTTGTGAAATTGATTCCAAACTCCCTGCACAATTGTTCACTTCTTTGCTTCCTTTCCTGATCTCAAAGCCCCATTGAAACCCCCAACCTTCCTGAGCAGTTAAATCATTCACAGCCTCCTCCGCAACCAACATTAAGTATGGGCTAGCCTTGTGCACAGGCATTCTTATTCAATCTCAACAATAGCTTTCTAGATGTAAACTACCACCATCCCCATTTTACAAAAGGGGACATTGAGGCATGGAGAAATTATTGAACTTGTTCACATACTTAGCTGGCAACTTAGAGCTACCTGATTTCATATCCTACGCTCTTACTCTGTTATACTGCTTTCCAATCTAACTTCAGTTTAAGTTGCTTCGAAAATATTTACTATTTCTTATGATCCCATCAATGGCCTCAGTACAGTAGGAGCAAGCAAAGAAGGATATAACTTGGTCCCTGTCCTCCAGTGTGACATGCCATCAGTACATTCCACAAATACTTACCAGCCTACTACCGAGTTATTATCTTGTTGAAGAACCAAGACCTATGCCTCCGAGAAAATGCACAAACAATATAATCGAAAACCGAAATGTAGGAGTTATGGGCAGATCAGGAAGGAGAGAGGGAGCGTGGTGGTCCAGCAAGACTGGAGGTGACACGACCCTGAAAAGGAAGGCAAAAGTCCCAGTGAGCAAAGGGACAGAGGACACACCACACACTGGGGCGACAGGAGGCTCCTTTCTTTAAAACCTTTTCCATTAACGACAACAGAACAAACAAGTAAAACACCCACCTGCAGGGCAGGGCAGTAGGGTCTCACATTTCTTAGCTGTAATTTGCAGGAATCAACTATGATCAACTCTATGAGGAAAAAGTTCCTCTACTCTTGAAAGTGGCATTGGGTGGCAGGGGAGCTTTTCCCAAGCATGCTTTAGGTTTCAATCCTGTGCCTGAGAAAACGCTGCAAACTGCGCGTGGCCTGAGATATCAACTCAGGGGCGGGAAGCTTTCAGTCAGCCTCAATGCAGCAGAGAGCTAGAAAAAAAATGTACTTATTAGTATTGTTCGCCTCAGAAGCCTTGAGGTACACCAGCGAGGCACGAGCTAGGGAATCAGTCTCGCTCCTTACGGTTAAGTGCCAAAGTGCTGTCAATGACTTGGGGCGGGCTCATTATAGACCTATTCCAGCTAATCCTCCACAGGCAACAATCCTCCTCTTTCCAGGGACTGTGGAATCCCGAGGAGAGCTGTTCCTTTTCAGACAGGCTTGAGGGAGAGGAGCCATCCTTCCTTCCTTAATACATTCCCAGGCTCACGGGCTTCTTATTACTGTGGCCAGGGCTAGGAAGTGAAGAGTGTGCAGGTGTCTGAAATGTTCAACATCCATTCTGCCCCTTCCTGATTAAACAACAACAACCTGTCCATTAGACATCCCATCTATCTTCTCTCTAAGAAGCCAGGTTTCTAGAATAGTCATCCAGGTCTTCACTAACCTGTGCATTAATGCAATCAACAACTGAATGGCTCAGTTGTACTCACCACCCTCTGTTTTAGTGCCCAAGCACTTTACAGCATTCATTTCTTCTTGGGGTCTGGCCCTTACCTACATCTCCAGCCTCATCTCCTACTAGCCAGCACCTGATAGCGAGCTCTGGCCACACTACCTCTTCTTCCCAGGCAGTGGGCAGGGCCTCCTCTCTGCCACCACAGGGCATTTACACATGCTGGCTCTTCTGTGTGGCCATGGAACAAACCTTCCTTTCCACCTTCCCTCCTTCATCTGACTGTCTTCTACTCAGCCTTCACATCTCAGCCCAACTCTAACCTCGCCTCCCCAAGACCAACTCCCTGACTAGGTCAGCTTTCTGAGTCATAAACAACTTAACTAGTTGTTAACTCCTCACTAGTCTGTAAGTATCATAAAGCCGGAGATCTTGTCTGTTTTTTGCTTCCCAGCACCTAGCATAGCACCTGGCCCAAAGTAAGCACTCAACAGGTATTTGTTGTTCAAAAGAATGAATGAATGAATGAATGAATGAACAAATGTGGTTCTCTTCCTTTGGATTCTGTCAGATCCCTGAAGGCAATAATGGCATGCCTTGTTCTTACTGCCTTGCACTGTGCCTGGCATATGAGCACTTAGTAAATGTTTGTTGAGTGAATGAATGAGTGAATGAATCTTCCATGTGCAAGTCTCTCCTTTAAAGTACTATGGGCTGGCTGTGGCAGCTCACGCCTGTAATTGCAGCACATTGGGAGGTTGAGATGGGAGGATTGCTTGAGCCCAGGAGTTTGAGACCAGCCTAGGCGACATAGAGAGACCCCATGTCTATGAAATATTGAAAAATTAGCCAACTGTGGTGGTGCACACCTGTAGTCCTAGTTTCTTGGGAGGCTGAGGCAGGAGGATTGCTTCCTCCCAGGAGTTCCAGGGTGCAGTGAGCTATGACCATGCCCCTGCACTCTAGCAAGACTGTGTCTCTAAATAAAGTCCTGTGGAGGACCAAAAGCCAAGCAATAAATGAACAACAATGAGCTAGACGTGCAAATACATGGTCCCAAAGCTCACAGTGCTTTCAGCAAAATAGAGAAAAGGGAGCAAGTACACAAATAATCATGATAATGATGAAAAGAAATAAGGGTCACGAAATGAAACAAAGGGGCTATGAAAGTTCAGAGAAAACAAGACAGCACCTGAAGAAGGAGCAGGGACAGGTTTTAGGGAGGAAGCCCTGAGCTCAGTGGCCGTTCTTGTCATTATCTAGAAGCCATGCGCCTAGTGCTCTATGGTGCAGGGCTATTCCTGGGTCAGGAATAGCAAGGGCAAGGGGCTGCCCATCTACCACTGCCCCACTTCTGAGGCCTTTCTCTCTTCCATGAAGGCTCAAAGCAGGGCAGACAAGTTGAAAGCCTGTAGCGGCCAGGAAACTAAGGTAACCAAAAGATACAGGTTGACTGTAGGACAGGGGTGATTTCAAAACACCTTCCCCACCTGACAAGCAGAGGCAGCTGCTTCTCCAGTGTTGCCAGCTGTTGTCATGTGAGGGTATGAGCCCTGCGTACTGATGTATTTTTCCCCAAGAAAATACAGAAATCCAGATTCTTGAATGCAATCTTCTCATTTTTAAATGTTGACAAATAATTTGATTTTTTTGGGCTCAAAAAAACACCCTTCGTGTCAAACAAAAGGGTGGATGGCATTCACTGAAGGCCTTATACAGCATGCACAGCTTATTTACAACCTCTGGCCTAACCAAATTAGACTTGTGGAAATTGAAACCACGATGGTACACTCACAAGATTAGCAAATGTTAAGAAATGTGATCAAATCAAATGTTGCCAAGGAAGTGGAGCAACAGGAACGCTCCTACTCAGCTGCCAGGGGTATGATTGGAATAACTGCCCTGGAAAACAAATCGGCACTATCTTGTAAAGATAAAGATATGCATATCTTATTCCCTGGCAGTTCCATTCCTAGGCATATTCTCTAGGGAAATTGTTGCAAATGTTCACAAAGAAACATATGTAAGAGTGTTTGTAGCTGCATTGTTTATTACAGCAAGAAACTGGAAACAAATCAACTGACAAAAGAATAAATATACTCTGGCATAATCATAGGACAGAATAAAAGTAACTCAAATGACATCAGTTGACATGTGACTAGTATCGTGAATGGTTAGATAAACCCTTCTAAGATCTTTCTTGTAGGGTCTTTAAGATCTTTCCATCTCTAAAGTCAAACAATCCTGGACGTTTCTGACCCACTGTTAGCAGAACTTCTGTATGTTCAGCAACTTGTACTGAGCATCCACATGCCATGCACTCTGTTAAGGTGGCGAACCACATACTGTCCCTGCCCTTGTCGTATGGTAGAAGAGACATTAAACAACCACATAGACAAATGGAGATTTATAAATTGTGAAAAGGGCAGGGCGCTATGAGAAAGCAAAATGGAGGAGGAACATAGCTCAGATGGAAGGGGGTAGAGTGTGGAAGGTTACAAAAGTCTTCTCTGTGGAAGGGACATTTCAGTTGAGACCTGCAAGGTTAGCCAGGAAAAGAGAACAGAGAAGACCATAGCAGGCAAAGGGAACAGCCTCACAAAGACCCCGGGCCTGGAAATAGCTCAGCGTGCTCAGAGGGACAGAGAAGCCCAGAGTGGCTGGAGCATGGTGCATGAACGTGGAAGTCCTGCTATTATAACAACGAGGAATAAATCTCTGTTCATCCTTCCGCCCAATTTTCAAGAGGGCTGGCAAGCCAGAATGATGTATGAAAGTTAAATGACCAAACAAAACTAACAGGATTTAACTCACTGGCTCTTGTTATTTTAATATTAACGTAAAATTCTATTAAACTACCAATCGGCTAGAAGGAAGAGTATATTAAGCTCCAATGTCTCCCTTCTGCCCACGCAGAGGGACCAGAGGTTAAGTCCAGACACTCAGGGGATCAGAGTTCATCACCCAAAATATTTCCAGATATTGAAGATAGACAAATTCATGTCAGATACTCAGCTCCATGCTAGAAAGTATGACAACCATGCGATGATCACTTTTCTCATAGTGTCCAATTCACAAATCATTGCATCTCTATGCCATTTCCATATATGTATATGTGCATGTGCAAATACCAACACATACACACATACACATACACACATAAATATTTCAGAATCTAATTTAAAATTTTCTGCGTTTGCTGTTTGATCCTTAGTGCCTTGGCCAAAAAACCCCCACCTAAGCACAGCTCATATGCTACAGTTAAACTTTTTTAAAAATTTCATCTCCTAGGTAATTATGAACGGGACCTTTGCAATAGCCCACCAGAGGCCTCCCAGTTGGCACCACCACCTTTTAGGAACAGGCGAGCAGTATTTTAATTTCAGTAATGGCTTTTGCCCAAAGCCATCCGTAACTAATTTTGCAGTCAGATTCCACGAGACCGATTCAGTGTTTGGCTAAATCTCGTGGAACATCTCATTTCCCTTCCATTTTTCATTAGTTTGAATTAAAAAGAAGAAAGCTAACAAGCATGGCTTGCATGGATATTTCTAAATTACACCGCACCGGCATTTTCATTCGTTTTGTTGTTTGCAGAGCGAGCCAACCCCGCTCCTTTTTCTCCCCCAGTGCGAGACCCGTCTAGAGCCACAGTCAGTTTGGCAATGCCACCTCTGTGCCCCGGCAGCATGTGGCCTGCCCTCACTCCAAGCAAAAGATGTGGAGAATGGCCTGTTGCCTACCACACAGGCATATGGTTTTCATAGTTAACTTCATCTTTGCAGCTTTTTGATTTGCCAGGAGTTGAGCAAGGAGCCTTTGCATCCTAACCTCATACCAAACAGCCCCCCGCTTTAAGAGATCTAAATGGACTAGCAGGCAAAGAGGGGTGGGGTTCAGGAGGGATGCGGAATAGGAGTGTCCTGTAACTTTGGGCAAATGAATTCTCTTGCAGGATCAACAACTGAGACCGGTATCTGCAACATTTCCCATGGAAAAAAGATTGAAAATACTATGTAGTCTATCTACTTTTACGGCCTCATTGGATTCATAAAGTCCACTGTTGTCTGCTGTCAGATTCTTTTTTGAAATCGTGAAGTCAAATCTTGCTTGAGTTCCCTGACGCTGCCTACCATTCTATCTTCTCCTACCTCCCTAACCATATTGATTCATTCGCTCATTCAACAAATATGACTGGCCACTTCCTAAGTGCCAGTGATTGTGCTGGGCGCCAGGGTGGCTTTGATGACAGGGGTATTTGCGCTTGGCCACGTGCCAAGCTTCGTTCGGCCAATGGAATGAGAACAGGCACAACATGAGCCCCATCTAGGCAGAAGCTGTAAGAAGCATCACCAGTTTCTGTAGATCTCTTGCTTCTCCCCTCTTTCCAGAGAACTGCATGTCCCCAAGGTAGAGGCTGTTCTGTCCACTGAGTCCTGGAATGGGAAGACACAGGGAGCAGGCTGCTGCTCAGAACCACAGCTGACCCACAGGGGAACATGAGTGTTACAGGAGTGAAAGAGAAATGTTCATTGCTGAAAGCCACTGGGAGGACTGGATAGTGTGTTATTGTAGCCAGCATGATTAATGCATTTATTAACGCAGCAGAACAGATTTAGTCCCTGCTCTGACGGATCTTATAGCCTATCCAGGGAGTTAGACAATAAGCACATGAACCAGCTAATAATTATGTAACTACTTAATTACACCTCTTCCTACGACATTCTCTCCTCTCTCTCACCCAACTACATGTGGCCCTTGGTCCTGCTCTCTTCTGGACACATTCTCTCCTGTGACACTTCCATCTATTCCCATAGCTTCAAGAAGCACATCTCTTCAAATGTCCCTCTAATCTATGTCCCTAGTCTGGTCTTCATGTACAAGTGCCAGATCCACCTGTCCAGCAAACAGCTGGATGTCACATTTGCAGGGTCCACTTGTATACCTAACTCAGCGTGGCCACAACTGAATGCACCTGTTATTTCTCACAGTTTCTGTGGGTCAGAAACTCAGGAAGCTCTCAGCTAGATATTTCCCCCTGAGGTCTCTGAATGAGGCCGGTGCTGAAAAAGTGAGGGTCTGTTCCCACTGGGATCTGTCCAACCATCTCTCTCTTTCTTTTTATCTGTCTCCAAGTATGGCCACAGGGGCCCTCTTTGTGGTCTCTCCATGGGGGAAAGTTTGGGCTTCCTTGTAGCATGGTGGCTTCCGGACAGTCAGACTATTTATCTGGTGACTAAAGATGCCAAGGGTGAAATTACTTCAGACAGCCAGGCAGAAGCTAAGTCACTTCTTGTGACTTGCCATGAGAAGACATGTAGTGTCACTTCCACCAAATTCTCTTGGCTACCAGTGAAGGATGAGCCCTCTCAGAACCAAGAGGCGAGGAATCAGACTTTGTGATATGGTAGGAAAGAAGATCCTGTTGTGATCAACTTTGGACAATGTAATTGGCCACATCACCC